GTGGGAGTGTTTGGAGTGCAGGGTCCTGTCTGCTGTCTGTCCTGAAGCTGGACTAATATGAATAATGACACTGTAAATAAAATGTATTAAAGTTTTTCATGTTTTTTATTTTTAAAATGTTTTAAACAGTTTTTAATTTGCCCTAATTTCATACAAAAACATAATTGAAGCACTAGTAATTCATATGAGAAATGTGAAGGGTGAGATAGTGTGAAGGTTCCCTTTTAATGGGAGCAGCACATGGCTGATGTTTTGGCCAGCTTTGGCTTTTGTTAGCTGTTTTTATCCACTGTGTTTTATTTTTTCTTTTAGAATGTATTTTATGTACACTTCTATGTATTCTTTTTGTCCTAGGGCTACCATTGCTGGTACCCTAGTGACAGCCACCTCCATCTGCAATTTAAATCTGTAAACATTGTAAATGAAACTTGTACAACTGTGTGCTGTGTCAAAGACAACTTCTGTGTCAATCACTTGTCTTTTACAAACATTCCCCCTGGGAGCCCACAAATATGTTTAGCGTCAGGCCCACAAAAGGTTAATCCGGTCCTGAGTGTGGACAGTGCTATGATGACAGGAGAGGTTCTCCCACCACCATAGCTACTGCCTCTCACAGAAGTGGTTTTATTATGCCAATTGTTGGCATAGAGAAGAGCTCTCTCCTGTTGGCATAGAGTGTCTTCACCCAACATGCTACATTAGCTTCTAGTTGTAGCTTCTAGTGTAGACTAGCCTTTGTACCTTGCATCAGTTTAAACTCTGCATATGCTTTAGAATGTGATTTTGCTCAGACCCAGGGATTCTAGTTTTCCGTGATAAATATTTTTTATTGAAGAATTTTGATATAACATAAAAGTCCATATTTTTCTGCAATTAAAATGAAATGATGAACTTTAGTTTCCCTAGCCACAATATATATAGGTATCAACTCAACTAAGGCGACCATACACTCCATTTTGGCCAGGACAGTCCCTTTTTTAAGCCCTGTCCCGGACATCCTGACTTTTTGGCAAAACTGGGCATTTGTCCCATTTGCTCTTGCCAACTGAGCAGCAAACAGGACAAATGACTAGTTTTGCCAAAAAAGTGGGATGTGCCCCCTGTGACAAAGTTCCTCCTCTATCTTGGTGGGTCCTGCACTTATTGGCAGATTTTCTTGCCTCAGAGATTCACCATGTGGGTTGGGGAACAGCCCAGAGACCTTCCCCTCTGGAAGAACCCACAGTCCAGGTCAATTGGGAGGTTTGGGGGGAACCTGGGCCCGCCCTCTACTCCGGGTTCCAGCCCAGGGCCCTGTGGACTGCAGCTGTCTATAGTGCCTCCTGTAACAGCTGCATGACAGCTACAACTCCCTGGGCTACTTCCCCATGGCCTCCTCCAAACACTTTCCTTATTCTCACCACAGGACCTTCCTCCTGGTGTCTGATAACGCTTGTGCTCCTCAGTCCTCCAGCAGCACACCCTCTCACTCTCAGCTCCTTGCGCCGCTTGCTCCCAGCTCCTCACACTCTCGCACTACAAACTGAAGTGAGCTCCTTTTAAAACCCAGGTGCCCTGATTAGCCTGCCTTAATTGATTCTAGCAGCTTCTTCTTAATTGGCTCCAGGTGTCCTAATTAGCCTGCCTGCCTTAACTGGTTCTAGCAGGTTCCTGATTACTCTAGTGCAGCCCCTTCTCTGGTCACTCAGGGAACAGAAAACTACTCATCCAGTGACCAGTATATTTGCCCTCTACCAGACTCCTGTACCCCACTGGTCTGGGTCTGTCACACCCCCTATGGGGGCGCAGAGGAATGTACAGGGGGGCAAGCGGCGACAGGGCTCGGGCTGTAAACACCAGCCCAGGACACCTCAGGCCAGCCGTATGTAGTCTCCTATTTTCACTTTGGGAAATATGATCACACTATCTTTCAACAAAATTTAGTTAATAGTTAATATATGGTTTTATTTTTTTTCACAAAATGTAAAAACTAAAGATTCCCTGTAAAAATGCAAAGTCTATATTTTTCCACATTTTTATCATAGCAAATGGATTTTTAGGATCTCTGCTCATAACAGGCAAAGCGCAATGGCACAAATACTGTGCATTATAGAGATATATGAAGTTTGTTTTATACAATAGCATTTATACATATTAATCCCATGGATGCATGCAACACCCTGGAAAACAAAGGCAATGAAGACTGAATGAAAAGGATTTAAAATTATATTTTTGCACTCTTAAAAGCTTTGTAAACTTTATGTTCAAGTAAACTTGTGTATTAATGACACCCGAGTTCCAGAAACTTTACATCACTGCTGTTTGGTTAAGTCATTCATAATTCATTTTCATCTTTACGCTTTTTAAAAGCGACATAATGTTTACAAACGTAATGTATTAGTTGCAGAGTTTTCTATAACCTGAAGGCTCTTATAATAAGAGCATGTTTTATATACTAGATCAACTTGATACATAGTCTCCCTGTCTTCCAAGGTAGTTTTATCAGCCCCTAGAGGCAACCAAACCACTACTACTGCTTCAAAAACTCCATTAGTAGTTCAGAGTGATTTGGTGATTTTAAAGGGGCAATATTTTTACAGGCTGTTTCAGCTGTAAAGTTAGCTATTCCCAGAAGTAGCAGTGTTTCTAAATTCCTGGGGTGAGCCAAGTCCAAATATTATAATATTGTATTTCTATTTTTATTATGCTCCACTGTATAGCTTAAAAAAACTGGTAAAGAACGTAAGAAATTTTCCTCATCACTGGGTTTTAATCATTGCTTAATATGAAAAAATATTGGAAAAAACATTTTATAGCTAAGTAATATGCATCAACTTCATTTTAACAATTAAAGCAACGCTGACATCTAGTGGTAACCTGAATGATAGTATAAAATAGGTAGGGTTAAATTTTTAAAATGTGAAGTGTAAAATAAAAAAGAAATCATACAATAATAGGAAACTTTTAGAGCGGATGCAAACAGTGCAGTGACTTTTAAAACACTGCAAGAGACATTCATTGTAGTTCAGTAAACAAAATAAATACAGATGACAGGTTTTATTTTTTCAATTTTAAAACTCACTATCTGTAAATGCTTAAGATGCATATTATCAAGGACTTAACTTCAGTATGATCTGAAGGTAATCCCCTTGAACATATTCTTTCAAATGGAGGTCTGAACTCCAAATTTCAACGCACAGAGATTTCAAAGATTTTTCCCTTCAGTGATCAATACTCACGGTCTTATTCACAATGGTTGAGGGTACTGTATTTGAAAGTGACGACAGGAAAATAGAGACACAAGGAATACAAAGAGGTTTGCTGAACTTTTTTCTGTATTTTGCTGCCTTTTTTTCCGCCCCCCTCTGTCAGGTTCTGGACATAAGTTTTCAGTTTGCTTCGTTTTCCTCACTTCCTGTCCTAAATCGTCACGTGGACTGTTAAGCAGGTGTTGTTACATCTGAAAAGTGTTGCCATTTCAATCTAGGATGAAGGGATCATTTTTCTAAAGCACTTTGGGATCCTCTTTACTTGCAAAAATAAACCCAATACTAAAAAAAACCCACTTTACTTCATTCAGATGTGAGAGTTCCTCCCAACTATAAGATTATTGCCTACTTACAGGATGTTAACCTCTCTTCCTTCCCTTGTGTAAACAAGCATGTCTATATTCCCTCTTGATGAACATATCTATGCTCCCTCTTGTTGACTTTTCTGGTTCCCGGCCAGTGACATTCTGAGGTGTCAACATTAACAAAGTTTACCAGGAATCCATTTTTAAATAGCCAACACCTTGTTCCTGCCATTGGAGCTGTGCAAATATACCCATGCGAGGAGCCCACTGAAGTTAACAGGGGCTCCATGTGAGTGCGAGGACTGCAATTACAGAAATGAGGCCTGAAAAAAGGGCAGCTAGAACATATTTAATTAATATAGTATTGATCAGCTCAGGTAAATACATAATTAGGAAGCATTTCATACAAGGGCAGCAAGAATCCTAGAGATTTAGTGCACATAGCACTTTTTTTTTTTTAAACAATAACTTTTTGAATCCAGTTTACTAGAGACAAAAGTTCAGTTCAATAACCCCACCACAGTATGTTACTTCTCAATTTCATTTTAAATATAAACTTTTATTTTAAAGGTTCAAAAAATGAGGAAGAGAAATTATTTTAAGATCTTTGAACAACTATGGTTTAAAAAAATCAATTTTAGTTCTAAGCTAAGGTTCTGTGATCCAAATTTCTGACTAATGCTCATTCTAAACCAGTGATAATACATTTACGTGATAAAAACGCAGACAAAAGCTATTCCGAAGCAAATGAAGATGCATTACAAATGTTAAGTTGTGCCCCTGAAAGTGATCCTTCATATTAACTTAAACTGATGTACCTACTTCATCAGAAAAAACATAGAAAAAAAACTAAAAAAAATTTATACCATTAGACCCTATTTGTAAGCTTTTTCCATTCAACAACTTCTTTTATCATTTCAGATCAAATTCCACCTACACAAAAAGAGTTTTACATACTTTATTCACTACAGTATGTAATTCAACATGAAAATCCCACTTGGTGATCATCATCATATGCCATCAGTGATATCCTTGAGCTTAAACCATGTCCTCAGAAACTGCACAGAGAAGAGTAAACAAATATATTCTGAGGGCTTGTCTACATGGTTTGCTAGTCTGCATCAGAAGGGTGTAAATTCTAGCATGCACTAGCATGTCGTGCACTAACTGAGTGACGTGGACTCTTCTAGTGTGCACTAAAATCTCCCTAATGTGCATTCATTTAAAACAGTACTATGTTAAATGTGCACAACGGAAAGGTCCACACGCGTCAGTTAGTGCACATCACAATTTACAGCTCTCTGATATAGACTAATGCACTATGTAGACAAGCCATGAGATAGGCTAACAAAATAAAATGGATTATAAAAATAGGCTCAGTAGAAAGGTAGTAAAATGTTGTACAGACATATGCAAGCAGCACGCAGTATATTTTATCTACACATACCTTTCCAAGCTCTTCAGCCTGTTTTAAAATATTGCGCTCTAAATCTTCTGCTCTTTTAGAATGAAAAGAGTTACTTTGACTCTGGATGACAAATACAATTTCTTGTAATTCTGTGAACAACGAAATAAAAATATTTAAAGAAAACAGAATTAAAGATAAGTTCCGCACCACTGCTAAAGAGAACTTTGAGGGGGAAAAGCATGACATAAAATCATAACTGATTTAATTAATAATAAAAATGCATAAACATACATACAATTGTTTTATTTTCTTAAACAGCTCCAGTTTTAACTGTTTGTTTATATGAAAGTAGAACACTAAATTTGTCATGGTATTATAGTATTGCCAACTTCAAGAGATCAAAAATCATCAGACTGGCCCCCCAAAACATGAGATTTTAAAACTCATCAAATCATGGGGTTTAGTCTGTCTTATATTAATCACATAAGCAATAATGTCATAGTAAAACTATGGAATTGGTTTAGCCTTTTGCAAGAAGCAACACTTCCCTAACCTCCTCCCACTTCTCTACCAGAGACTGGGCAGTACTCACTGAGCCCCACCACACATGCTCTTCTCTGCCCATCACTATGACAGATCATCCTCCTCCTCCACTCTCCTCTCCACCCCTCTCCTCCTGTGCCCCCCTTTCTCCTGTACCCCCTAAATCTATCACCTTTTCCCTCTCATTCCCACTATCTACCTTTCACCGTGTCTAAGCTGCTCCTCACAGTCCATATGTCCTGACTAGCCTGCTGAACCACAGAGTGGCAGCCATCATGCCTGAGGATATGGCTTCAGTCTCACTGAAAACAATGGGAGATGGCAGCCACTTTTATTAAGGGCAGCCTCACTTCAATTTGCAGATTGTCACTTCCCTGCAGTCTACCATCTTGCGGTCTTCAGTTCCACTGACAATAATCAGAGATGGTGGCCATTTTGAATAAGGAAAAATTAATCAGTTGGCAGCCTTTCATCTTGTTTTCATGAAACAGGTAAAAAAAAACACCCCCAAAATTGATAAAAACAACAAGAGTTGGCAATACTGGTATTACATCAGGCCCCAAGCAGGTATGCCTGTAGCCACAGAATTGCTGAACAGTTTCACAATGCTGTTGGTGCACCACAGGGAATGCATTATGTACAACCACCACCTAGCTAGCACCTACAGAACTGCCCCTCTGTTGGAGGGGGTATGCATTCTAATTTTCGTATGCTGCAAGATGACTAGCTTGGAGAAAATAAATATTCTTAATTTACTTTAAAAAAGGGGAAAACACACTTTTATATCACATTATCAAGACAACCTCTCAGACTATGGTGTCACTTTTAAGTCCTTCGGTATAAAGCTGCTAAGATAACCACAGAATTGCTACAAGAGGAAGGAGTGAAGATGGGAGACTAATTCCTAAAGAAAGGCGGAGAAATGGAAGGAACGACAATGAAAGAAAAAGAAGAGAAGTAATTTCAAGGAAAAGAAAAGATAAACTATGTGAAAAAAGAGCACAGAGAAGAAAACAGCGTCAGAAAAGAAAACAGTATCAGAAAAACTTTTAACTAATGCAGTTTCAGCTCAAAATTTCTACTACTGTAATCCAAGGAAGAAATATCCAGAGGTTAAATATCTATTTATTAATCCCTCCTCCACACCAAAACACATTTGTTATTGTTAAAGTCCTAGGACTCAGAGAGTTGCGTCCTAGGGGGTAGCGGAGGATACCCTACCCCAAATTACAGGTTATATGATATGGAGACCTGTAACCCCTGCACTGGAACCAATTAAATGCCTGGTATACATGGGCAGCAGGTATCAAAGGCCGGGGGGAGGCTGAGCCTCCCGAAACAGCCTTGTGTGGCCCTGCCCTTGCTCCACCCCCAGGCTCCTTCCTGCTTCCCAGCGCTCTGCAGCTCTTCCCCCATGGCCTGGGCCCTCGGCTGGGGCTAATGGGGCCAGCCTGCAGCCAGGGACTACAGGCGGCTGGAGCCAGTGCACGTACCGCCCACCCACCTGGCGCTCCAGGGCAGGAGGCGCTGGGGACTGTGCTGCCTGCCTGGCACTCTGGGGCTGGAGGTGCTAGGCTCCGGCAGGGGCAGGGCCTCAGGCACAAGGGACGGGGCGGGGGCTAGCCTGCCTGAGCCCGCGGTTCACCTGCCGCCCATGCTGGTATAGGAAAGTATGGGTGATAAGCAGGTAGCGACCCTCCCCTGTGTTAAAGTTTAAGAAAAGTTGTGGCCTGCCGCTTAATTCCATATATGTGTCTGTCCTCATTTTGCCACTGTGTCCACATCAATGTTAGTTCTTTTCATACTTGCCTCCATCCATGACTCTGAGACCACCTCCGTGACTCATTAAATGTGCAATCCTAACTCACTCCATGTCGGGCTTTGACAAGTTTGTGCTCCTGGTGTAGTGGAAGGCATAACTATGTTTGGGGCCAGAACAAGCTTTCAAGTTTCACAGAGCTCTTCCCGTCTGGGGATGGTAACCGGAGCGTCTAAGCTAAATACAAGTTGGGACAAATTGTTACCCATAAGGGGTTCAGGCATACTTGTCTCTCATATCCTGGGACCAACACAGCTACAACAACACTGCAAACAACTAATAAAAAACGGTTACTCACCTTTGTAACTGTTGTTCTTCGAGATGTGATGCTCATATCCATTCCAACGCGTGCACGATCGTCGGAAAAATTTTCTACCCTAGCAACACCCGATGGGTCGGCTGTGGAGCCCTCTGGAGTGGCGCCTTCATGGCGCTGGATATATACCCCAGCCGACCCAGCGCCCCCTCAGTTCCTTCTTGCCGGCTACTCCGACAGTGGGGAAGGAGGGTGGGTTTGGAATGGATATGAGCAACACATCTCGAAGAACAGTTACAAAGGTGAGTAACCGTTTTTTCTTCTTCGAGTGCTTGCTCATATCGATTCCAATTAGGTGACTCCCAAGCCTTACCTAGGCGGTGGGGTCGGAGTGAGACATTGCTGTGTGCAAAACCACTGATCCGAATGCAGCATCGTCTCTGGACTGCTGTACCAGCGCATAGTGAGCGGCGAAGGTGTGGACCGATGACCAAACCGCAGCTCTACAAATGTCCTGGATCGGGACATGAGCCAGGAAGGCAGTTGAGGAGGCTTGGGCGGTGAGGCGCGGCGTCGGGACACCGGCCAGGTCGTAGCAAGCACGAATACAGGACGTGATCCAAGAGGAGAGACGCTGTGAGGAGACCGGTAAGCCTTTCATCCGGTCGGCCACTGCAACGAAGAGTTGTGTCGTCTTCCTAAACGGCTTTGTACGCTCAATATAGAAAGCCAGGGCCCTGCGTATGTCCAAGGAATGCATACGCTGGTCTTGACGGGTAGCGTGCAGCTTAGGATGGAAGACTGGGAGAAATATATCCTGGTTCACATGAAAAGCTGAAACTACCTTGGGGAGAAAGGCAGGGTGGGGGTGAAGCTGCACCTTGTCTTTATGGAAAACTGTGTATGGAGGCTCCGACGTGAGCGCCCTGATTTCAGAAACACGCCTTGCTGAAGTGATGGCTACAAGGAAGGCTGTCTTCCAAGATAGGTACAGGAGTGAGCAAGTAGCCAATGGCTCGAACGGGGGCCCTGTGAGCTTGGAGAGAACCAGGTTGAGATCCCACGCCGGAACGGGTTGTCGTCGCTGTGGATACAGTCGTTCTAAGCCCTTGAGGAATCTGACGACCATCGGGTTAGAGAAGACCGAGGAAGCGAGTTCTCCTGGGTGGAAAGCCGATATAGCGGCCAGGTGAACCCTGACTGAAGATATCGCCAAGCCCTGCTGCTTAAGGGATAGGAGATATTCGAGTATAAAAGGAATAGACGCCTGCAAGGGGGGCGTGGCCCGCTGCTCGCACCAACAGGAGAACCCTTTCCACTTGGCTAAGTAAGTGGTCTGTGTAGCGGGCTTTCTACTTCCCAGCAGAATCTGTTGCACAGGATGTGAGCATTGTAGCTCTGTCCAATTCAGCCATGGAGCATTCACGCCGTGAGGTGGAGCGATTGCAGGTTGGGGTGACAGAGTCAGCCGTGGTCCTGAGAGATCAGATCTGGGCACACGGGAAGCATGATTGGAGTTTGAACAGATAGCTCCAGAAGCGTGGTGTACCAGTGCTGCCTTGGCCAAGCTGGAGCGACTAGAATCATACGTGCCTGGTCTCTGCGTAGCTTGAGCAGTACCCTGTGGACCAGTGGGAATGCAGGAAAAAGCGTAGAACAGCTGGTCTTTCCACGTCAGAAGGAAAGCGTCCGACAGGGAGCCCGGAGATCGCCCTTGTAGGGAGCAGAACGCATGGCACTTCCTGTTGGCTCGAGATGCGAACAGGTCAACCTGGGGAAATCCCCACCTCTGGAAGATGGAATAGATTATATCTGGACGCATCGACCACTCATGCGTCTGGAAGGATCTGCTGAGACGGTCCGCTAGAGTGTTCTGGGCTCCAGGGAGGAGCGATGCCGTGAGATGTATCGAGTGGGCAATGCAGAACTCCCACAGGCGAATGGCCTCTTGGCATAGGAGAGACGACCGGGCTCCTCCTTGCTTGTTGATGTACAACATGGCCGTGGTGTTGTCTGTGAGGACTGACACGCAACGGCCATGTAGGAGACCGAGAAATGCCTGACAGGCTAGGCGCACCGCCATCAGCTCTCGAACGTTGATGTGCAGAGCTAGTTGGGGTGCGGTCCACAGGCCCTGGGTATGGTGGTCCCCGAGGTGAGCGCCCCAACCTAGAGACGAAGCGTCTGTGACCAGGTGCAGGGAGGGTTGTGGGGCGTGAAATGGCACTCCTGCGGAAACCGCCTTGTGATCCAGCCACCAGGTGAGAGAGGTCAAGACCGAGTCTGGAACCGTGACCACCATGCTCAGGTTGTCCCGATAAGGATGGTACACCGACGATACCCAGGCCTGAAGTGGCCGAAGCCGAAGTATGGCATGTCTGGTTACGTAAGTGCAAGAGGCTATGTGTCCCAACAGGCCGAGGCACGTTCTTATTGTGGTGATCGGGAAGACCTGGAGTCCGTGGATGATGTTTGTGATGGTGTGAAACCGAGTGTCTGGAAGAAGAGCTCGGGCGAGTCTGGAGTCTAAG